GGAACCGAACACACGACCTTGCGCTTGCCAGGCAGGCGCTTTTGCCGCTGAGCTAAATCCCCAGCCCCTGTAGGGTCATTCTTGGAGCAGCTGTCAGTCACCTCTACCTGTGCGGGCAAACCCTGTTCGGAGGCAGGGAAGGTGGAAACAGGATACACACTGAACTACTATCACCTGCTTCCTGTGCTTCTCACCTTAAAATGTGTCATTGCGGTCCTCCAAAGGACAGGTGCCAGGCACTCTCTGAAATAACAAGTTCTAAGAAAGGCTGCAGGAGCTTGCCCTGCCCCAAGGCCACCCAGACATCAGCCACTCCACAGGACCTTTCTCCCTGTAATCTTAACAGCAGCAGTTGAAGGTAGAGAGGTACATCCTTACCGTACAAATGAGCACACTGAGTCTCTGATAGATTGAATGACTGGCAAAAAGTTACACACTCAGTGTTAGAGTGCGGATTAAACCTGTATATAGTAAAATTTACAAATTTTGGTTGCAATACCAGAAAATCATTCTAGCTAACAGAATCAAAAGTGGCAGCTTGCAAAACAGAACAAAAGGACACGAGGCTTTGAGGGGTGAAGCCGCAGGGACAATGTAGCAGCCTGCTCAGGGCACCAGTGCTGCCTTGAATGACCACCTTATCTGTAAAATAAGGATGAACTATGATCCAACAGCACTGTTGTCTCATTACTACCTCTTTTTTACTTTTTTTAACGTAATAGTGGGATCAAAGCCAGGGCCTTCTGCATGCTAGGCAAGGGCTCTACTACTGAGCTATGTCCCTGACCCTTTTCATTTTATTTTGAGAGAAGTCTTGCTAAGTCGCCTGGGCTGGCATCTGTTTTGCAGTCCTCCTGCCTCAGCCTCCTGAGTAGCTGGAATTACACCACACCTGGCTTTATCACCACCTCATGGCAAGGGTGGGACTATAGATGGTCCCAACATACAGATGAAGATGAGCCCCTGGACACCCCTAAACCTTGATTAACCAATCCAGCAAATGCTATACCATAAGGAAAAATGATTCCTCGTGTAAATTAAAGTGCTTTAATTCAAAGGAGGCAGACTGTATATGAGACAACTAAACCTAGAAAATCTGCCCTTAAACCTCAAGTCTGTCCATGTCCAAAGCCTTGGCTTTGCCCATGATACCATTCTACTTCTTAAATATGCACCAGGCTGGAACTCAAGTTACATAGATGTCAGAAAGTGAAGAGGGAGGAGGAGAGTTACTATCACGTGGAGAGGACTGAAGTGTCTTAGACGGCATTATGACTATAAATCTAAAATACTTCTCTTTCCACCGGTAAGGTATGTTCTTAGCTAGGAGCAATTCTGGATCTCTCCCCCATGATTTAATGAAAGCAGCGTTAGCCTGACCTTGGTCTGAGTCCCAGCTTCACCACTTAGGTGTATGACCTTGGGCAGGATGTATAACTTCAATGAGTCTTGTTTTCTCCACCTGCAAAATGAGCTAACATCCTCCGCTGCACCAGCTTATGAAACTGAACTGAGCATATGCAGAGTGCTCAACAGATAAGGTGCCCCAAATAAATGTTCTTCCACCCGTTCCCTCCCAACATTCCAAAAAGTCACACAGTACTAGTATTTTTAGCATTCTGAAGATAAGTTGACTGTTTCTTCTTCTAGGTGTAGTTCTTCTTATGGAAAAACACTCAGTTATTTCATGATGGCATTTGCTCCTCCAAAAAGCACAGATGGCCCCAAAATGCAGACAAAGATGAGCACTTGGACACCGCTAAATCATCAGCTTTTGAATGACCGGGTAAGTGGCCAGAGCTATTTTATCAATTGGATCTATGCCTTAAAGAAAAATAATAACATTTTGCTTATGAACATAAAAACAGGAATTATTTAGGATTGTGTGATGAATGAAGAAGAGACAAACAAAGCATTTATTTAAAACAGCTTTCTCTGAGTGTCTGCAGTGTGGGCAAGGCCAGCAATAGACAAGAGTCCCTGCCTGAGAAGAAAATGCTTTCAATTTGTTCTTTCCTACTTCGATTTGTCTCCCATTCTAGTTACTACCTTCTCTGTCACTCGTTCTCCTCTGGGACCCCTGGGACTGGGGGCAGAGTCTGCAAAAAAACAGGTTCCCTGGCTAGGGTTGAGATCATTGGGTAAGGCTGCGTGTAAAATACATCAGGTACAGAAAATGAGTAAATTTCAACCAAGTACTCACAATACTCGGCATACTCCCAGTTCTCCTAAAAAGTTTATTGCCTGGGGACCGGGCATATAGCTCAGTGACATAGCACCAGCCTGGCCAGTGCAAGGTCCTGAGTTCGATTCCCCGTACCAAAACAAAAAATCATTTCCTGGCTACCTTCTGGGAAGGAATTAGTAGAATTCACCAAATAAAGGAGTGCAGTGGATTTCCAGGGCGTGAGGTTGGCCAAATTCTGGGGATTTCTATTCCTGCTCCAGTGAGGACCAGAATTTACACAGGGGTCTGCGAGCTCCTTTGAACAATCCTCTATGTCAGGACCACACCTAGTTGGTGGTAAAATACAATCAACGTGCCTAAAACCGACCTTGTTACCTCACTCACACACACTAGTTTCTCCTCCTGGAGAAAAAAGCGCCCATTTGCACCTACTTATGCAGGCAGGGAATCTTCCTTCTTCCAGGTGGGTCTTGGATTTGATTTCTCCCCAGTTTAATAAGCTAATATTTTAGCCTTTATTTATGGACTCGAGGACACTACAGTTTCACAGTAAAAGATGCAGATTCCTGGGTCAGAGACAAAAAAACTTTACCCTCAGCACAGCAATGAGAGTGAACGTGATGCTTGCGTGATGCTCTCCTGGCCCGTCCACCTCCACAGCATGACTCCCGGCCCAGAAAAGGCTACGCACACAGTGGGTTTGCATGGCAGCTGGGCAGGTGAGCCGAGGACCCCACTACCTGTCGGGTAAGCAGCGAGCATGGCTGCGGTAGCCCCAGTGCAGCCCAAGTGCAGAGTGCCAGCTTGCGTCCCTGGTACCAGGACATTCAGGGACCAGAGAGGCGATGCAGGAGCATCTGCCAGCAGCCCTCACCCACATGTCCGTAGGCTTCGTGTTCTGGGTCTTCCTCGCAGGCCTCTCATCCAGCGCCCTTGCTCCACCCATCCGCACCCTGCCAGCTGTACGTTCTCACCTCAGACCCTTGGCACACCTTGCCACACACCCTGCAGTGACCCACCTGGTTTCACTGCCTCTGTCCCTGGCTCCCTGAGGCTCAGGATGATCTTTCTAAAATACCAGTCCCACTCCAAAGGGTAGATTCCAAACCCCCACATGCATCACTGAGGCCCTTCCTGCTCTCACCTCAGCCAGCCTCCTAGTCCCAAAGGGTAGATTCCAAACCCCCACATGCATCACTGAGGCCCTTCCTGCTCTCACCTCAGCCAGCCTCCTAGTCCCACCCACCCATGCCACTGCCCCTCAGGGCCCAGGCCAGGCCACTCTCAGGGTCCCCTGAACCCTGCTCTGCCATACCCGTGAGAGTCAACTCCAGTGTCTCTCCTCCGTGCTGCCTCCCTGGCTTCCTGCCTCTTGTTCTCACCTCTCCTGCTTGCAGCTTCCCCATCCTCCTCAAAATGCTTTAAAGTAAGCCTAGCATGGTGGCACACACCTATAATCCCAACACTCAGGAGGCTGAGGCAGGAGGATCACAATGAGTTCAAGACTGACCTGGGCTACATAGTCAGCCTGAACTACAGAGTGAGACCCTGTTGTCTCAAAAGAATTTTTTTTTTTTTTTTGTTTTTCTCCGGTACCGGGATCAAAAGACTTTTAAGCTGGAGAGCCTCCCTCTTTTATCTCCAGGGCGTGATTTGGCTCTTGGAGCACAAGAGGCGGAAACAGCGCCCAGTCCTCCTGGTCTCATTTCACTGACTATCACCTGGTCTGCTCCGTCAGCTTCCTTAGCCCAAAATGGGCCTTTGCTTCTCTAACCCTAACAGATGTGCTGATCGCTCCGGCAAAGCTGAGCCATCAAACCCAGGTCCTCTTGGTGTTTTCTTTTTCTATTCCTCTGATCTGAACTTGAGCAATTTCTGAGAGACGGAGGAGCTGGGGCAGGCATCGGAACGCTGAGAAACAAAATGGAGAAGACGTAAAACAGGAGAAAGATAAGGGAATGAGGACAGAGGAGAGAGGAGAGAAACCAGCCTTCGTCTATAGCTGCGAATACCTGTCTATTGAAATCTTGTTCCTTCAGCACAATGATCATTCCTGAGCACCTGTTTGCAACGTTCCAAGTTCCCTAACAGTTTACATAACAGACGATCTGCTTTCTCCGCCCCCCAGGCTTCAGTGTTTAGTTTTGAAATCTGTTTTCCCATAGAATTGTGAAGATTTTACACACGTGTGAAAAAGTGACTTGAATTGAAATTCAAATGTGTTGGATGGTTTGATTTTCAGAAAATTTCCTTGAGAAAGTAAGAGGCGTGCTCCATGTAGCTGCTGTGGGTGGGCGCTTAACAACTAAGAGATACCTGAGTGCCTGTTGTAAATTGGATGACTAGAAAAGCAAACTCCTTTTTTTTTTTTTTTTTTTTGGTACCAGCAATCGAATTCAGGACCTGGCTCTTGCCAGGCAGGCACTGTGCCACTGGGCTATATCCCTGGACCCTTTTTTATTTTGTTCTGTTTCATTTTGCTTGTGTAGTGCTGGGCATGTAACCCAGGACCCCAGGCATGCTGGGCAGGTGCTATAGCGCTGAGCTGCACCTCTCACTCCAAGAAGCAAGTTTTGAGATGAGCATGTGTGACCAACATGCTCCTAGGAGAGCGTAGAGGAACAGTAGAAAAAGATGTGCTCTGATGCAGTCTCCACAAGGTCTCCCTTGACCCTGGGACACCTCAAAGCCAGCCTGACCTTACAACCCAGCAAGCAAACCACCCATTCCATGGGTGCCAGGTGTCCCCCGACCCCAGGAGCTGACCTCGGTCCAGGCAGCTCTCTCAAGCTTGTTGCTGTCACCCAGAAGCCTCCCAACAGGTGCACGAATAAATCCTTCAATTCTGGGGGACAAATAGTACAACACAGAAAACGTTACGTTGTCTTATCTTCATTCTTTAAGGGATTTTGTCACACTTAGTGGTGATTCATAGAGAAAATTTTATTTTATTGTTCAGAATTCTCAAATATTCCAGAATATCTAGATAGGTTCTGGTTTGGAGTAAAATTATTTTTAAAACCTTGCCATGTGTATATGCACATGTGTATCAACATACACAGACACATACCTAGACTTTGTATGTGATTACACCAAAGTATTAATACTGCCAGCCCCCAAATTTAGATGGCCATTGCTGGCTGGAGGGGACGGGCCTTTAGAAGAGAGACCTTTTCCTTTTCTTTTTCTTGCTTTCTTTGTTCTTTTACTTTATATGATGTGCTCATATTTCAAATTGTAAGAGTTTAAAAATAAATACAAAGAAAAGCAACCAATAACAGCTCTGGGAATTGAAAACTTGGCTTCAGGTCAGCTGTCCTAATCATTTTTTGCATGCGTTGAATATGTCACTTACCCTCTCTGGGCTCGATCCTCCTTTTAAAATAAGTGGCTTGGGTCAGGTGACCTCAGAGGTCCCTTCCACATCTAACATTCCAACTGTATGAAAGGTTTAAAAATAGATGGCCAAGGACGCATTGGCTAGAAAGCATCCACAGAGACAATTTAAGGGTTTTTCTTCACCTGAAATACAGAGCATTGTCACCACTAATCAGTGTAATTGTGAGGTCTTGTTTTGTTTGTGTCCCAATTTTGTCTTTCTTCTATTGTGCAGTAGCATGTGAAACAAATAAGTATCTCAGACTAAAATAAGAGTCGCAGAATTTTAACTTCACAGCAGGCTTGAAGCAGAGACATTGAATTCAAATTTAGAAGCTTTAAAACAAAAACAAAATCATCAGGATGGGCAAATGCAGTAGATTACAAAGTAATTCAGGCACTGAAAATTTTGAGAGGAGGAAGGTTTTTAAACTATACATCTCTTCACCACCCAGTGTTGTAGTTAAAAGCAATCCTCCCCGCAACACATACAAGGGTAACGACAGACAGTGATGGATAGGATAATTTGCTTGAGTGTAATAATGTTTTCACTGTATAAATGTATATCAAAATATGCTGTAGACTTTAAATACATACAATTCTTAAAAAGCAAATGAGCCACATTTCTTTTAGCATGTAATCCACATCTAGTACAGTACATATTAAAAGGGTGTTCTGAGAAAAAGCACCTTGGAGTCGATCAGTTGTCATTTAGGAGTCCCTGAATCTCTCCCTTCTGCACTGTAATGATGTCACATGGAGAAATATGTAATTTTAGTGTCAACAGACAAAAATAACAACCGTGGGATTTTGACTTAACAGCAGGCTGTGGGTAAACTGTGATATAAACAAACTGCAGCATTCTGCAAGAAAGGAAGATCCATTTTAATAGTTCCATTTTACATAGACATTTTGTTTCCAGCTCTTTAAAGGAAAGAATCTGATTGCAAATCACTGAAATGAAGATTCACTGCAAGCCAGGGAATACAAGACTACCCGTCAAATTGAGGACCTGACTGGGAAGTGATTGGCCCAAATGCTATTTCTTGTCATGGGTGGGGTCAGAACCCAATCTGAGGTCTTCTGATTTCCAAGCTCGTCTATCCCTCCACTCCCAAGTCAGTGTCCTCTCTTTCCAATGAACTACACCCCCAAGGGGAGCCATGACAGTGCAATCCCAGCCTCCTTTTGAAAGCCCAGTTGTGGTCCCAGAACGTAATTTTCTTCCCATTCTCAGCCCAAAGCATGAGCAACAAAGGCTGGGAGTGGGTACCTAGCTCAGTGGTAAAGGCCTATCTAGCACATGTAAGGATCTGGGTTCGATCCCCAGCACCTCAAACCAATGAACACTGTGAGGCTGGAAGTCAGGGAAGAGAAGACCAAGATTTATGTGAGGGACCACCGGCAGAACTGAGCTGAGCAGATAGTTTAGAACCAGTGATTTTTTAAAAAAATCTATAAATAGAATCTCTTTGGGCCTCTGTTTGACCTCTTTAAAATAAAGGAATTGAACAAAAAGATCTTAGGATTTCTTATAACTCTGAAGTTCTGGGCCTTCTGGAGCTTTGTTGTGGTTGTTATTCAGTCAGCAGTGTCTGTGGAGGGCCTGCTGAGAAACTGTCATTTCTGGTTCTGGGGAGCAGGTAGGAGGAAGGGGTTGTCATCCACACAGGGAGGTCAAATTAACAGAGAGCACTAAAGAGCAAATCTGAGCCCTGGAAAGCCCCGTGGAGCATGATTGTGAGAGGGGTGGGAGTGAGGAGGGGTCGCTGCGCATCTGAACGCTGACAGCGGTGGCGGCATGGATTGGGTGACAGGTTACTCATGGAGAAAAAGAGCTAGGCAACACAAAATGTGTTCAAAAAATTAGGTGAATGTTTACTTTTTTAAAGTTTAGTAAAAGCCACGTCACCACGAATCCCCCTCAAGGTCCCTCCCTCACTCTGAACACACTTATCCCATCGTTCTTGCTGCTTTCTGAAGCAGCTCTGCAAGTCCTCTTTTGTGAGTGTCTTCAGGTGCACTGCTGTGGCTGCCTCAGTGTCCTGAATTGAGTCCAGACGTTTCCCTCTCGTGGTCATTTTGATTTGGGGCAAGAGCCAGAAGTCGCACGGTGCGAGATGCGGTGTATAAAGTGCATAAGGATACATGGTGATATTTTTATTTGACAGAAATTGCTGTAAATGGTTGCTCATTGAGGGGTGAGCCAAGAATACGGTGAATGTTTAAATAAAATATTGCCTATAGTAGAAGACACATTGCCATTAGTCCCTGTCAAAATAGCAAAAAAAAAAAAAAACTCCCCTTGCTTCAAACACACTTGTCCCATCATTCACGGCAATGTATCTTTCACTGTAGTAAGTTTATAAAAATTTTTAAACATTCACTGTAATTTTTGGTCCCCCCTTGTATTCTAATCTAGGTTTTCTGATTCTTCTGTGTTCTGTAGCTTCTCTTCTATTCTCATCTAGACGTCCTACCTGTTGCCATTACCTGAGGGTCCTGGTACCCCAGGTGGCACGGGGGAGGAGGGTCTTTTTTCTCTAACATGTAAGAAGTGCCTACCTGTGATGGATGAGCTTGCCTGGACAGGAACAAACTTGACATCTCACTGGCCCAGAGGCAGTTTTTAGAGCAGTTTTTAAGTTCCCATTTTGTATGTCCTTGGCAACCAGACTTTGAGCCTGGAAAAGAAAGGAAAGCATTCTCTGCTGGAAGCAGAAAGCCAGCTCCTCACCCTCCTCCACAAAAAGGAAGAAATAGGTCTGAGCCGCCTCTCCAAGCAGGAATGTTCCTGCAGAACTGGGGAGTTTAGGCAGCGCCAGGAGGAAGGGAAAAGCATCGCTCCCCCCTTGAAAGCTGACAGAGGGGGTGTGTGTCTCTCTTGGAGTGAGACAGTCACATATGTTCATTATTCTCTTCAGAACCCCTCCTCTGCCAAGAAAACCCACGTTCCTTTTCCCTTTCTCACTCGCTCGTGCACTGATGCTCAGAAAAAGACCTATTCACCAACACAACACATCCCCACTTTACTTCTACATCCATGAAGATATTCAACCCCACAACCTCATCAAATTCAACAAACAGGTACTTGTAACATGTGACAGCGTAGAGCATGCTGCTCTGGGAATGTCACCATCAGTGATACACGGTTTGTGTCCTAAATAGTCAGTTATAATAAACCTGTACAGCTCCATCCTCAGTCACCAGCCCAGAGGAGCACATGTACAAATTACTAACCCTACAAGCACAGAAGCACTTGGACACCCATTTAGGTGTGTATACACTGAGATATAACAATAGACCCATTTGTTTATAAATTCTCACACCATTAATATAGACATTTTAGAGGGGAACTCCATTTTCCTGTTTTTTTCTTGTTAGTTTTTCATCTTCTTTCAAATTTTCAGTTAGTTGTTTTTTGTTTTGTTTTGTTTTGTTTTGTTTTTGATACTGGGAATCAAACTCAGGACCTTGAGCCTGCCAGGCAGGCACTTGTGCCACTGAGCTATATCCCCGGCCCTCCTTTCAAATTTTAAAATTCTTTTTTTTATATTCCACTTTGTTCTTTTTTCATCTAAGAATAATTACTTCCTATCTTATGAATTATACTATTCTACATGGAGAAACTAAAGAGGGAGAGAGGGAAAAAGGAAGGGAGGGGGACAGAGAGACAGACAAAGAGACAGAGACAGAGACAGAGAAACTAAAGAACTTGCCCCAAGAAATAAGTAAAGTACCCTCTTGGGAATGAAACCTGTGTCTTTATACTTAGTTAATACCATAAATTTTCTGATTTTTAATGACATTGTTCTTGGAAATGGATATTATGACCCACAATATATGAAATCACCTGTTCTTTTACTAACTGCAGGTATTTGAAGAAAGAAGAGCTCTGCTTGGAAAATGGGTAAGCATTTAAAATAGCATAGACCTATGTCTGCATTATATTATCAATTTTAGGCTGTTATAATAAGAGGCACGGACCAAGTGGCTTATAAACAACTGACATTTATCTCTCACGGTTCTGAGGGCTGAGAAGTCCTGGATGAAGTTTCCTGGCAGATCCAGTGCCCTGTTTATGAGCAGCCTGATATGGCAGAAAAAGGGAGAGAGTTCTCTGGGCTCGATTGCATAAGGGCACTGATCCCAGTCATAAGGGCTCCATTCTCATGCCTAATCACTTCCCCAAATCCCCCCCCCCAGTACCATCACAGTGGATGTGAGGATTTCAGTGTGTGGCTCTGGGTTAGGTGGGAGATACAATCATTCAGTCTGTAGCTTTGTCACAGAGCTGCCCCAAGAATTCAGGTTGGACTCAAGGCTGTGCATGGCTGGTGCTTTCTCTCTGCGCAGTTAGGGTTCAGTCTGGACATAGAAACCATATATTATTTTAATAGACAGAATTTAATGAGAAGGACTGGTTAAGTAGATATTGGAATGCAGGAAACAGAAGAAGGGAACACTGGGGTTCCCCGAAAATAGAACTGAGGTGCTACCAGCTATACCAGTACCTCAGGAACTCAGAGTGAGGACTTCAGGACCCTGAGGGGATCCGAGCTTGTAAGGAGTGAAGCAGGTGAGATCACAGGCAGCTCCTTCTACTATATCCGAGGAAATATGGCCGTTCTGTGTCTTTGAAAGAAAGCTGGACCCTGGAATCATCAGGGTGAGTACATCTTTTTTTCATCAGTTTCCCTTAAAGGCCGGCCTCCCCACTGGCAGCATTTAGCAGAGAACCAGATGTGTTTGCAGAGCTCCAACTCGCTACACGAATGAGTACAGACGAGGGGTTTGGATCTGAGAGAGGTTAGTGTAGTAACCAGCACAGTCCTCCCCTCTGGCTACTCAGCATCCCTGGTCTCCCCTCCGTATACACTTAAACGTCCACAGCAGAACTCTAACAGCTTCGTGCTTTTGCTGAACATGATACAGATATCCTTCATCAGAAGTGAGGACTGGGCTGGGGATAGCTCAGCGGCACAGCACCTGCCTGGCAAGGGCAAGGTCCTTAGTTCGACTCCTGGTACCAAAAAAAAGAAAGTGAGGACTTTTTCATCTGATCCTCATATGGGGAGACACATGGTCATTGCCCATCCCTTAGTAGTAATCAAACTATCCATATTGATTAATATTTGTTAATGATCAAATTCATCTTCAGTCCAATTTAAATATTTTCTATGACCCAAGGGAACTGAAAGCATACAGTCACTCAAACACACACACACACACACACACACACACACACACAAATATGTATAGCAGCAATATTCCAAATAGTTAAAAAGTGTAAATAATCCAAGCGTCCATCAATGGACACAACTGAATAAATAAGATGCGGTATATCCATATGATGGAATATTACTCATCCATAAAAAGGAACATGTTACAACATGGATGAACATTGTGCTCAGGGAAATAAGCCAGTCACAGGAGGATAAATATTGTATAATCCCACTCATATGAGGTACCTGGAATAGGCAAATTCATAAAGACAGAAAAAAGAATAGAGGTTATCTGGAACTAGGTAGTGTGGGGGGGTATTGTTTAGTGGACACAAAGTTTCAGATGGGATGATTAAAAAGTTCTGGAGATGCATGGTGGGAATGGTTGCACACTGATGTGAATGTACCTCATGCCACTGGACTGTTTGTTTGTTTATTTATTTGGTACCAGGAATTGCACTCAAGACCTTGTGCTTGCCAGGCAGGCACTGTGCCACTGAGCTATAGGCCCAGCCCCTGGACTGTATATTTAAAAATGGTTATAATGGTAAATTTTAGGTGTATTTTACCAAAATAAAAAATAAGGGTAAGAAAAGGAATGAGATACTGATATATGATACAGTGTTAATAAACTGTAAAAATATTATCTAAGTGAAAGCAGCCAGACAGAGAGACCACAGAGTATATGATTACATTTAATATGAAATGTCCAGAATCAGCAAATCTACAGAGACAAGAAAATGGATTAGTGGTTTCCAGGGAGTGGGGGAAGAGGGAAATGGGAAGTGACTGTAATGAGCATGGGTTTCTCTTTTGAGAATGAAAATGTCCTGAGATTAGATAGTGGTGATGGCTGCATGACCTTCTGAATATACTAAAACTGTCAATTCTACACTTTAAAATACTGAATTTTATGGCATATGATATATATCTGAATTTTAAAAGAATATACCAAGGTTCTTTAAAACAAAACAAAACTTCACATGGGTTTTTCCAATTTAATGTATGTTATGATCCTGAAGTATTCCCTCTTTTTTGTTTTTGTTTTTTGGTGTCAGGAATTGAACTCAGGACCCTTGCACTTGCCAGGCAGGCACTGCACCTCTGAGCTATGTCCCCAGTCCTTTGTTTTGTTTTTTGAGACAGGGTCTTGCTATGTAGTTCAAGATGATCTTGAATTCACTATGTAGCCTCAAATTTACAGTGATCCTCCTGCCTCAGCCCCATGAGTACTAGGATTACAGACTTGTGCCGCCACACCCAGCATTATTTTCTACTTAAAATTTACAGTCAAAGCTGTCTTCTTGGAGAGAGTATCTTTGCCTTGGACTCTAATGGAAGGCAGATACTCTCTCCTATCAGTTACAGAAATTCACTTAGCTAAAGACCGGCCTAAAGGACTAATTCTAGTATTCGAGTTTGCCTTAGTTGTTCACCACGTCTTTCCTCTGTTGTTCTGCAAACCCCAGACAAACGATATTCATTAACCACTGTTTTTTAAATTGTATATATAATATTGCTAGAGGGAGCCACAAGAAGAGGGTAATACCAGTCTCCTCCAGGAAGGAGAATTCTGGAAATGATTTTTTTCATTTGTGGCAATTAGGGCAGAGCATCAATGCTATTGGCTTTGGGATCCACATGGGGGATGGGTGGCACACACTTCTGGGTGTGTCTGTGTGGTCGTGTAGGTGTGGCTTTGGGATCTGTGTCTGGTCTCTCATCCCTTCCTCCCTGGTGCTGCTTCCTGGCTCTGCTTCCTGTCCTACATGCAACAAGCATCTTTGCCCTGTCATGCCCTTCCTCCTTGATAGTCCTGTCTTGGAGCCAGACAGCCATGGACTGAATGCCCTGAAACCTCAGCCAAACCAAACATCACCTCTTTTAAGTTCTGGGTGTCGGATATTGTGTCTCAGCAATGGATGAGCTGATAATGCACTGCAAATGCCTCATTGTTCTGGCATTAGGGATTGAATTAGGGCTCTTCCACTGAGGTACAACCCCAGCTCTACTGTATTTCAAATTTTTGATACAGGATCCTTCTAAATCACTAAGTTGCCCATGCTGTGATTGAACTTGTGATCCTCCTGCTTTAGCCTCCCAGGGTGCCAGCCTCCTGTGTATGCCACTAAACCCGGCTCCTTGAAGCCCTTCACACCTTATTTTTTAAAAATCATATAAATGTGTTTTCTCTTCAAAATAACAAAATTTTACCTAAAAATTAAGAAATTAAAACTCTGAATTTTTACAACCTACTTGAGTTTTTCTCATTTGTTTTTAAATTAGTTTTGCACCTCTTTCCAACAGCTCATAAAGTGACTTATTTAGAATGACCTATGTCTGCACTGTCACTTGGAGTTAATATAATCAGGGCAAATGTTCAGCCCTTGTTCATTGCTACGGCTGGCTAGTTTCTGTTGGTGGCATCGCCAGTTGTTAACTATTTTTAATATTCTGGATAAAATTCAAGGTCTTCAGACTTTTTAGAAAAAGGTCCTTTTCTTTCATTTACCATAGCTAGTAGAAATATATATTTGCAAAGACCATTATTATCTATCTTCTTAAAGAGAATAAACTTGAGATGGCAGGTTGGTTTCTATTGTGTTTCAATTTATGTCCCCTGATACTGATAAGACAGTCAGCATTTCTACATGAATAAATGATATTTATTTTTGTCTTTTCCCTAATAAACTTATTGCTTAGTTGTACCAACTCATGTAGAAGTGTATGTACTCCCATAAAACCTAATGCAAAAGAAAAGAGAAATAAAGCTACCAATGTTTTAGTGGATGTTTCATTGTAAGAGTCAAGTTTTGATTTTAAACCTTATTCTGGCATTTAGAAGTAAAACCATTTAAAAATATCTGGATCACACTGCATATCCTTATAATCCCAGCACCTGGGATTTGTATAGCAAAAGACAAATAATTTAGAGAACCTGAAAAGATCTTCTACTTTACTGTTTCATCCTACTACTTAATCCCTGTTCTCTCAAATCTCTGCACTGCAATTCCTGTTAGAAAAGGTAATCACCTCCCAAATATGCAGAAAATACCAATGGGGAAAATATCTGGATTTAAGAAAAAGTTGTCAAACTTTCAGCTTTCTCTATGTTGTTAATAGAAATAATAGTAATATAAATATTTTTAGTAAATTAGTGTCACTTTCAACTTGCTGGAAACAGCCATAATCAGAGTGTATTAGATTTTCTGTTGCTGGGACAAAATGCCAGACACCTAAAACTTAAAAGAGGAAAAGCTTCTTTGGCTCACAGTGCTAGGGGGTTCAGTCCATACAGGGTCAACTGGCTTCAAGACACAAACATGGTGGAAGGGCAAGGCAGAGGAAAGTTGCTCAACACATGGCAGCCAGGAAGCAGAGGTAGTGAGGGGAGGAGCTAGGAACAAGAATACATCCTTCCAAGTCACCACCCCAGTACCCACCTCCTTCCACCAGGCCCCACTTCCTAACAGCTCTTTTAGCTATCAGTGGATGAATCTGCTGGTGAGTAAAGCACACCCATGATTCGCTCATCTTTCAAAGGTCAGACCTCTGAATATATGAGATTTGGGGGGACATTCTTGATCTAAACCACAACACACTTAAAATTCCAAAGAGAAACAGGGAAAACCATTTTGTGAATTCCATGATAGATATAGGATTAAAAGGGCTGGGGGAGGTAGCT